AATATAGTTTTATCTTCATGTACTTCGTTTATATGTATATTCAACTATTAAATAAAAGAAATAGAGGATAGACCTCTTTAAAAAAAAAAAAAAAAAAAAAAAAAAAAAAAGATAGTAACTAAGAGATTATTTTAAAATCAAAAAAAAAAAAGATAATATAGATTCTTAATAGTTATTAATCAATATTACAAAAATTATTAATTTATATTTTGTATATGATCCTCTATACTAAAAAAAACAAATAATCAAAAAAATCTATATATTATATATATCTAATCTTTTATATTATTGCTTAAGTTTTTTTGTTTTTATGTATTTATTTTTTATTTACCGCTGTTTTCGAAATAGTTGAGAATAGCAGGATTTACAAAAAAAAAATTTTTTTGACGAATACTCGAATACTCAAATACTCGATTAGTTTAGAACTTTGATCAATGATCGATTCCTGATTTATATAATTGTTATATTAAACAATACCACAACTAGTTCAATTGTGTGTTGTACTTTTTTATTTCTTGGCAGATGCTTTTGTTCTGCAACTCCAGTAACTAATTTTTTTTTTATACACTTACAAAAGCATACCGATAAATAACTGCTTATTTCAGTAAACTGCCTTAATTTACTGTAGGTAAGTTTTTGTTCCTGTTTCTTATTTGGTCATGAAAGGGAGTGTTTTCTATGCAAAGATTCCATTACTTTTGGATTCCATTAAATCTAACAAAGATCTACTTTTTGAAGTCAAGAAATAGTCTTTCCGGATTGAGTTAAGTAGTAAAATTTTTTTTTTAAAAAACTACACTTCTGACTTTTGAAGTTTAATAGCATTAACTAATTTTTTTTTAATTACAAAAGCATACCAATAAATAACTGCTTATTTCAGTAAACTGTCTTAATTTACTATAAGTAAGTTTTTGTTCCTGTTTCTTATTATGGTCTCGAAAGGGGTATTTTCTATACAAAGATTCTGTTACTTTTAGATTCCGTTGAATCCAACAAAGATCCACTTTTTGAAGTTAAGAAATAGTCTTTCCGGATTGAGTAAGGTAGTGAAATTTTTTTTTTAAAAACTAATCACTTTTGACTTTTGAAGTGCCATTAACTTTTCATATGACATCCAACAGAGTTGCTGAATATACAAAACCAAATCCTCTGATTTTTTAATATTAGATAATTTATCTCAATCACATCTCCATATGCAAAGGTTCTGAGTTGAAATGCTTTCATACAATTGTCAACATTCTTACCTCTACTTGTCCATTGCGTTGCTATATCAGGGTCACATATCAGATATCATTCTTCATTCATTGAAGGTTATGAACAATTGCATTCGAATGTAATTATCCTTGAGTTTATTAGACATTTTTATTGAAGCATCCAATTGAGTTTGTTGATTTTTTATTTCAGAGGCACTCAAGTATTTTTATTCATAAATTTATATACTTTTGTTTTTATAGTGCGCAATTGTGACATTTTAGAAGGGTCAGTGATCATAATAAGTATCAATGTTGTATTGGGTTCTGCTTTTTATAATGTGCAATTGTGACATTTTTAGAAAGGTTGGTGATTGTAATAAGTATACTAACACTGTTGTATTAGGTTCTGTTTTTTATAGTGTGATAGCATATAACACAATTATGATCTCTTTAACTAATTTAATAAACAATAAATATTGTATTAAGTTCCTGACTTTTATGTATAGATTTAAGTGTAATAGCATATGACAATTGTTATGTCTTTAGTAGAGTTGATGAATTTAATAGAGCTTCAAATAAAACTTAATAAATTATTGCCATTTGATCCATTCAGAGCTTCTAGTCTTTAACAATTGATTTTTGCGAATATTTAAACATCTAATTTGTAAAAAAAAAAAAAAGCAAAAAATAAAAAAAATAAAAATGTCATCACTTTACCAGATTGGTACATGCTTTTTGTGCCAGAAATGCATGTTTTGTTTTACTGACCTCACTACGAATTTGTGCGAATGTGACCTTAATGTAAAGCCTTCTCATAATAAGACCAATTCTCAGAAAATTTACAGTCGAATATATGATTCTTATAAAACCTCATCTAATCAAAAACAGTTACTTCAAAAAAATAATCGTCTCTACGCTTATAACTGTAATTTCAATATATTATTTAATATAAGTTTCTGCTTCGCCTGCTATTCGCAGTATGAACATGTTAAGAATCTTGAAGATACAAGTACCAGCAATGATGATGATAACTATGATAATAATGATAATTATGATAATGATGATAACTATGATAATGACGATTTTTCTGCTTTATCAAATGAAAGCACTTCTTGTTTACAATTAAAAGCTAAGGTTATAATCCAGGTCGAAAACTCTACCTCTATGTCTGCTAAATGGATTACTTTTATTTTGGATACATTTTTTATTTTCCATAACCAACTTGCTGATCATATTTGTAAGTGTACTAATGATTATAATATTGATGAAGGTAATATTAAAATTACTTACAAAGTAAATAGCCGTGATTAAGAAATAGCATTAGAGGATAATGATGATTATGATGCCTTTATAAATGAAAGCAAGAAATTAAAAAATTCAACTAAAAATATGGTACCGTATGTCACATTAAAATCATCCAATAATCCTAATATAAAAAAAAGAAAAAAAAAGGTTAAGGTATAATATTAATATTTTTTTGAATATACAGGTTTAATATTGATATAGTTAAAAATGATAAATTAAATATCTCAATATTTATAAGATTTATCAATTGAAAATTATGATGATTCCAATGAAGAAAAAGTAACTAAAAATAAAAAAGCAAAAAAAAGTGGTCGTTTGCCAAAAGAAGAAAGATTGTCATCTGATGAAGTTGATCTGGCTAATATAATTACCCAACTTCGCTCCAAGTATCAGTGCGGCATCCATAATACTCTGTGCTATGTAGAGGATGGTTAACACTCCCTCTTAACCTTGTCCGTCTTCATCTGTGGTCTCGAACGATAGTATGATTATCAATTAATTCTAAAATATTTTAGTATATTAAAGCAGCATTTTGAGTAAATCAGGTTTACTACATATATGATTAGCTTTTATTACCTTTTTTATCTATTCAATTAATGCTGTTTTAATACATAACACTCCATATATGTTATATATTAACGAATACATGCATAATTTATTTTAGAGGATGAAAATTACTGATTTAGACACACTACCCACATATCTAACGTTTGGATTAACTTATGCCTATAAACCTAATAATACACAAATATCGCAATCACAATCACAACCACAGTCTACCGCTACAGATGCATTAGGCTCTAATTTTGTTTCAGCTCTTCAGGAATGCCTTGACCTTCTTAAAAATGTTTTGAATTCGGATAGGAATCAATAATGCAATTTGCTAATTGATTATACATTACAAGTGAAAATAGGATGCCACTGGTACTACTTATGTCAATTCCCATTAATTTTTTAATAGTCTGTCAAATAGTCATTAAATCATATGTCTATTCAAATTGAGATCCTTCATTAATTCTATTTTATAATTGTTATATTTGGATTACAGTTTATTCGTGATATCTTCGTTAGGATATGTACATTTTTTTGTAATAAGAATTCTTTATGTATTATTTTTACTTGAATTTAACTATAAATAAATTTTTATACACACCATTTAATTAATGAGAATAAATAGTAAAGATTCGAAAGGTTCAAAATTCTTAGATTAATAAACATTCTTAAATTCGTATCGTGAATAAATACTATCAGCTATAAAGTATTAGATGCAAAGCAAAATAATTCAATAAATGTTCTTTATGCTCACATGCTGAATTAATATGAATAAAATAAGTTAAATAATAGACATTTTTGAACTTAAATACATAATACTTCAATTAATAAGTGCCCTAACTATCTTATAAATTATCATAAACTTAAATAGCATGATTGAGTACAACCAATCACTCTAGTGCTAATACATGATGATTTTATTTAAAGCATGTGATCTATGACTGTTTATACTTTTTTGAAATATTAAGTAAAAATGCATGTCTCATTTTCACAAAAAAATGAATGTAAAAAAGTAGAAGACACTCGTGGCGAAGTGATAATTTTATTTTATAATATAACTTATATAAAAAAAAATAAAATAACAGATAAGAAAAAAAAATTCTAGGTATGCAAACACAAAATCACATGATAAATTTGAACAAGTTTATTCAAAATAAATCGATTCTTTAAAAAAACCTGTTGAAAAGATTGACGATCTCTCTCTCCTGACCACCTGCGTTTAGGGTTGAGAGTAATTTAGGAAAAACAAAATTAATCTAGTAAAGAG